CATATTCCTGTCATTTGCATGCATAAGCACTGGATCCTGCGGACCCCCTGCTATAAAGGAACTATGTGAGCTTGTATAGCTCGTTACTGCACACAGTAGAGTTTGGGTAAATGATAGATGACCAAACTGATTATTTCCATATGAACTGTTAATTTTCTATAGAGGAAACTTTTAAAATATGCTTTATTGCGTTAATACTGGTTTACATTGTGTTTCCATAATAGAAGTGTATAATCCCCCTTCAGGTATTGTTGCCATGGTGAACTCACCACCAAAGAACCCATGCTCTACCACCCATTATATAGGAAAACTTCCCTCATACATAAATGGTGCTTCCTGTTCTAGTCATTCACCTCAGAAAAAACTGTTATAATGATGACTGTCATTTATCAAGCACTGGCTTGTGTGCCAGGTCTATTTTAGATACTCTATAGACTGATTGTTTTGTTTTAATCTTCCCAATAAACCTTGAGGTAGCTATTGCTGTCACTTGTCTACACCTGTGATCTGTAAGCCACTGAAGGCCACTAACTAGTAAAATAACTCTTAACAAGCTCACAGCTAATAGGTGTAAAACTGGGACTTGAACCCAGAACTGGGACTTGAGAATACAGTCTCTTTTCTGGGCGGCTCCGCTGTTTCCTATCAGCAGAGTGAGAGAGTGGATACCGCCCATGCACTGAAAGCTTGTACAGTTTAAGCCTGTTAGCATCCTACCTTACCTGCCCTACAGCTCTTTGAAAACTATAAATTTCATGGCACTAAATTGTAATGTATTTGTACTTTTGTTATATTCATCTTGAATACATTGTTCTGTCTCCTTTTTTAAAAGCTTATTTCAGTTTTGAAAAATTTACCTGAAAGTTTGCGCAATGGAAGGCAACAGCCAGCTGAGGGAGTGACACATGGTGAGTCTCACCGGTGCGTCTCTCTCACATCTTTCACTGGGTTTTGTTTGTTGTGACACATCTGGGGACTCTGTCTTCTTCACTGTAATTCTATCTGGATTGAGTGTCCACTTGTGTGTCCTTTTCTAAGGAATGGTTGGTAAGGTCTCCCTTCCCCTCTTAACATGTAGCCTCATATAAGGTTGGAACTTTTTCCTCTTTTCTTTAATTTTGAAAAGTAATAAACACAGAGATAAGTTGAAAGATATTAACTACCTGTTCGACCCAGAGTGAGTAATTACTGTTTAGCCTCATTTTTTGTTTCTCTACATATGTATGTATATTTTTTAGTATATATACTTTAATTTCTGCTTAACTACTTGAAAGTAGACATCATGACCTCTCATCCCTAAATATTCAGTATGCATCTCCTAAGAAAAATGAATAGTTTTCTAGTAGCATCTAGTAGCCAGCGCATATGTAAATTTTCCTGATTGTTAAAAACATGTCTTTATAGTTTTGTATTTTCTTAAAATAGAACCCAATTGTACTTATGTTTCTTTAGTCTCTTTAATCTAGAATAGTTCTTCCACTATTTTTTTCATCCATATCATTGACTGTGTCTGTTTCCTCCCTTTCTAACCTTCACTTTTCTTATAAATTGGAAGTATAAAAACTCAGATTCAGGGTTAAAGATTTTGGGAAGAGTAATCCATAGGTAATATCATTGTATAGCAATGATAACTGGTTAAGTTTGTTTTTAATTTTAAGGATTGCTTTTCAGCTTATGATTCCATTTTATTTATTGAATATGTGAGAGATTCACATATTCAAAAGCTAAAACTATTTAAAAGGATATACTCAGAGAAGTCATGCCTCTGAGTCTTGGGACATCATTTCAGTAAGCTATACAGCATATCAAGGCTAGCCAAATGAAATTTGATTACTTGGCTGAGGTGGAAACCAGCAGATTTTTCCAGTGTAAAATTTGTTTTTCTTTTTAGCAATTAGCAGATAACCTGTGGGGTAATACTCTGCAAATACCTGGTTTCTAGCCACCTTTCACATAACAACTTAAGACAAATTGACTCTCTTTCTCTAAATGAATTAACTCTACTAAGGATTATGAAATGGTGATATTCCAATTCCATTTACATTTACTATCTGGCATTATTCTGAAAGTAATGAGCTTTCTTTATTAATTTGGAATAAACTTTAGCTCATCCTAGAGTGGCAGGAAAAGTACCTAATTCTTTATCTGATTATTAATTTCCTAATAAGGAATTAATGCCATAATTGCCTTTACTTATGATGGCAAACAGGTTTTTTAATTATTTGACTCAAACATTTTAATTTATTGTGCTTCACCATTAATCACATTCATAATTCTCTGTGCTGCTCAAGTTGTCCCAAATCTGGCATGGAAGCGCTCCTGAAAGCTGATTACTGCACACTTCTAATACCAACCACGTCCTACTCCCCAGCTCGCTTTGGACTGCTTCCTTATTTTCCATCTCAAGATGTCCCAACCTTGGCAGATTATCATCTCACCCCCTGCTCTCCCTCACAGGGTCTTCTGCCTTTCCTGGTTTTTTTGTTTTGTTTTGTTTTGTTATTATTGTTTAAAAAGATGTTCCAGCCTCACTTTGTAAAGCCTTTACCCCACATTGGAATCAGCCCTCTGTGGAGGCTGGATTTTAGAAACCATCCCCGTCCAATACAACAATGCGTTCTAAGATGAGGTGTCAGTGGATAAAGTTAGGCGTTATATTTTTATTTTTTTAAAGATTTATTTATGCACCCATGGACTGGGGGATAAGCCAGAGATGTTGGGAGGAGGGGTGAGAGGATTCACCAAAGATAGAGTAGGTAGATCTCCTGGAGTACACTGCTGAGGGGAGCAGCGGGCGAGACAGGAGAGGTCTGCCGCACCATGTGGGTCACCTCCCTGGCCAGGAATCGACCTCAAAGTAGCTGCCATTGCTTCATTGTGCTGAGACTTAACACCTTGTACCACCAGGGAGGCCTGGCATTGTATTTTTAAAGAGCATTTGCATTCATATTTTTTTTTAAAGATTTTATTTATTTATTCATACAGAACTGGGGTACAGGCCAGAAGCTCAGGGATAGAGTGGGGAGCAGAACAGGCAGATCGATGAAGTACACTGCTGAGGGGAGCAGCGGGCGGGCCAGGAGAGGTCTGCCATGCCATGTGGTCACCTCTGGGGCAGGCGGGAATCGAACTCATGCAGAGGTGGCCTTCAGCCTCTTAGTGCTGTGCTTTAACCCGCTGCGCCACCAGGGAGGGCCCATATTGTTATTGATTCTAACTTTAACTTGTAGGTTTTCTTTTATTTTCTCACACACTGAATATTTTTTAAATAAATACTAAACTATTTGCCATGCATAAAGTAATTTCAAAATATATACTATCATTACTTCTACAAACAGTAAAGCTACTAAGTAAGATTTAAGAGTTTTATTTGTCCTTAGACTATATCCTACTGTGGTTATATGTTCAGACTGTTACATCCATGATTCAAATGTTGGAACTATTTGAAAGGATACTCAGAAGTCTCATACCCCTTTCTCCCATATCCTGTTCCCCTGTTTTACAGATGACTTTTTATTAGTTTCTTATTTAGCTTTCTAGATATTTTCTTTTATCAAAGTAAGCATATATATTTTAATCAATTTTTCCCTTTTCCCCTCTCCTCTCCCTCACAAAGGTGCAATAAAAGATACACTGACCAGGATACAGTGTATCCTGGAGATCATTTCCTGCCAATAGGAAGAAATATACCTGGTCTTTATTACAATAGTTAAATATATAATTGTATATACATTTTAATTTAATTTGTTATATAATTATTATATCTTATGTAGATTAAATATCTATATAAAGTGCTAGGATATAAATTACAAACACTTTTGGTTTGTCACTTGTTTGTTTTTTTACTAATGGTTATTTTTTTGTATTGAAAAAACAGTTTTATATAGGCACATTTACCATTCTTAGTTGCTCCTGGATTTTGAATCACAGTCACTCCAGTACGAGTTCCATCCCTGGCCAGGGGGATGACCCCCATGATGTGATGGACCTCTACTGACCCGTCCACTGCTCCCCTCAGCAGTGTATTTCAATCTGTCTGCCTGTTCTGCTCCCTACTCTGTCTCTAGAGAGTCCTCTTACCCCCAGCACCTCTGGCCTATATTCTGTGTGTATAAATAAATAAAACTTTAAAAATAAATAAATAAAAGGTCTTTCTACTCATAGTTTATAAAGAAATTCACCCATTCTTCTACTACTACTTGAATATTTATTTATTTTTATCTTAGATTATGGAAATTTTCAAGCCTACACAAGTTGAGAAAATAATATAGTGAATTTTCTTGTGTCTGACATTCGGCATCAAGCTATCATTTCATGAACACTAAACCTGATAGACATTCTTGCTATTGCATTTGTCTTGCAGCCCCTAAGATTTCTGCTGGTACCAGCTGTATAAAGTGGGAAGAACAAACTGCAGAGCAAATAATGAGACTTCATCGTGCCATTGGGAATATAGTAAGTTGGAAAGCCATTGCAGTTTTACTTACATATGTGCATTTAAGTCACTTTCAAAATATTTTTATTTAGGAATGAATCTCATAGATTAAACCTTGGAATCCTAAAAATCACTTAAAAAGTTTTTATTGTGGTAAAATACATATAATATAAAGTTTACCTTAGACATCATTAAGTCTATATAGATCATTGGCATCTAGTGCATTCACTTGTGCAGTCATTACCACTAGCCAGCTCTAGAACCTTTCATCTCACACCGAAACTCTGTACCCATTAAACACTAACTGCCCATACCCCACACATGGTCCCTGATAATGTCTATATTCTGCTTTGTGTTTTTTGTAAACATTTGCCTGTTCTAGGTATTTCATGTAAGTCGTTTTGTAGAGTAGTTGTCCTGCTTATGTCACTAAGCATAGTGTTTTTTTTTTTAAGATTTATTTAGTTATGCATACAAGAACCGGGATACAAGCCAGAAATGCAAAGGTGAGAGGGTTCACCTTTGAGAGGGTGAGAGGCAGAATGGGGAGAACAGGCAGATGGGCTAAAATACCCTGCTGAGGGGAGCAATGGGCGAGACAGGAGAGGTCTGCCATGCCATATATGTCACCTTCCTGCTGGGGATCAACTTATGCTGTAGTGGCTGTGATAGCTTCATAGTGCTGTGCTTTAACCATTTGTGCCACCAGGGAGGGCCCTAAGCATAGTATCTTTAAGGTTCATCTGTATTGTACCATGCATCAGAATGTCATCCCTCTTTAAGTAGTGCTCTATCACATGTTTATACCGTAATTTATCTATTCATCTTTTGGTGGATGTTTAGGATGTTTCCATCTTTTGACTATTGTGAGTAGTGCTGCCATGAAAATTAGTGTGTAGATATCCATTTAGGTCTCTGCTCTCGGTTCTTTTGTGTATTTAAAAATTAATTTTTTTAAAGATTTATTTATTTATTCATATAGAACTGGGGTACAGGCCAGAGATGCGGAAGGTGAGAGGATTCACCAGAGACAGAGAGGGGAGCAGAACAGGCAGATCGACGAAGCACACTGCTGAGGGGAGCAGCGCTCCAGTCAGGCGAGGTCTGCCGCCATGTGGATCTCCTCTGGGGCAGGCGGGGCTCAAACTCATGCGGAAGTGGCTTAAGCTTCTTAATGCTGTGCTTTAGTGCACTGCGCCACCAGGGAGGGCCCTAAAAATTAATTTTTTAAATATTCTTCAAACTTTGAGTTTCTATAGGGGCCTTAGAATTTAGAAGCACTTTCAAATATACATTTTCCAGTTCTCCATTACCAAGTTACATTATGCTACCTAATAGGTGAGGGGAATGAAAATGAAGTGACTAATTTTGGCATGTCTGATCGGTAAATAATGAAACTAAATCAATCAGTGTCAGATACTATAATAATAACATAAAGTACAAGAGCCATGTAATTTTCTCAATAAAGTCAGAAAAAACATTGACAAAAGCCACCATCCATCCATGGTAAATATATTCAGTGAACTAAAAATTGAAGGAAATTTCTTTCAGCCTGATAAAGAACATCTGTAAAAACCTGATAGCTAACATCATATATAATGGTGAAAGATTGAATGCCGCCCCCCTAAAGTCAGAATCAAGACAAAGGTGTCTACTCTCACCACTTTTGTTCAATATGGTACTGAATAATAGCTAGGATTTTGGGCAAGGAAAAGAAACAAAAGGTCACCAAATTGGAAAGGGAGAAAATAAACTACAATTTCAGATAGTGTGATCTTATATAGAGAAAAATCATGAAGAATACCTCTCCCAATCTATTGGATAATAAAAGTAAAGAATATCTAAGTAAGTGAAAGACCTCTGTGTTCTTTGGGTTGGAAGACAGTGTTGTTAAAACAGCACTATTCTCCAAATTAGTATTCAAATTCAACTCATTTTTCTATAAAAAAAATAATAATAATAAGTCCTAGGTCCTCCCTGGTGGTGCAGTGGGTTAAAGCACAGCACCAAGAAGCTAAAGCCACTTCAGCATGAGTTCGATCCCCACCCCGGAGGTGATCCACATGGCACAGCAGATCTCTCCTGACCTGCCCTCTGCTCCCCTCAGCAGTGTACTTCATCAGTCAGCCTGTTCTGCTCTCCACTCTGTTTCTGTTGAGTCCTCTCACCACCCCTGCACCTCTGGCCTATACCCCATTTCTGTATGCATAAATGAATAAATCTTTAAAAAAAAAAAAAGTCCCCATTGACTTTTTTTGCAGAAATTGGCAAGCTGATTAGAAATGTATATATGGACTCCCAAGAAGCCCAGAATAGACAAAGAACTTAATACTAAGCTACGGTTATCAAGACAGTGTGGTATGAACACAGACATAGATGCAGGGTTCAATGGGACAGTGTTGGAGACCAGCTCCAACCTTTGGGGTGTCTCGAGGCAGCACAGGTAGGACCCTAAGATGGGAAGGCGTCAGCGAGCGGATATTCCAAAAGGGGGAGAGGGGAACGGACGCGAGAAAGACACGGGAGTCAGGATAAGGTGCAAGTCTTCCTGCTTTTCCTTCAGCAGGTCTTTATTTATACTGTGTAGCAAGTAGTTAATTGTAATAATGCATAGGGTAAGTTAATGAGATATCTCCATAAAACATTCTCAAGGACAAGGGGAAAAGCATTCTGTTTATAATTTATGGTATGCTAAATTATATGTTTTTGTGACAGTTATCATATATACAGCTGTCTACTTATCATTAAAGGAAGAGGGGTCTGGAAAAGGGTGAGCTTGTTAGCAAAAGGTTGTTAGGGGTCTTGGGGTAGTAATAAATTGTGTTCGCAGTGTTATCAGTGATTGTCCAAAGAAAAGCTAATGGCTAATTTAAGGCTAGCAGAGAGTAGTTAGTGCTTGTTTTAAAAAGGAGTAAATTAAGAGAAAGTTATACAGTTGTATATCAAACAACACCTATGTAGTCACGGTTAAAATTTGTCCATGAGTCCTTATGCCTTGGGAGCCTTATCTGAAGTTTATTTTTTATTCAAAGAAACCAAGGAAGCTTCCCAGGAGTTTTTTATGTCCTGGGGTCTTATTGCTCCTGGGGCTTGGCTTTTGTCTCAGGAGACCGAGGAATTTCTCACCCTGGGGCAGCTTGCCTGAACCAGCAGCTGCCTTTTGCAGCTAAGTCAATCCAGTTGTAAACTGAATGTTGCTCAGAATATTTATTTTAATATTATGTTTATACAAAAAAAGGGAAGTCATAACATAAGTTAGCAGTGGACAGTCTGATTTTTCAGAGCTTATCCCGACCCACCCGGAATCTGTCAGACGATGGATGTTGCATAGCTTGTGTCAGGACAGAATTAGGAGTCCAGAAATAAGCCTATACATTGATAGCCAATTAGTTTTAGATAAGGTTGCTGAGAAAATTTGATGGGGAAAAAATAATGTTTTTACTACATGGTGCTAGACAACTGTATATCCACAATCAGAAGAATTTGGAGGGCTTCTCTGGTGGTGCAGAGGTTAAAGCATTAGTTCAATCCCTGGACAGGGAGCTAAACTGCATGGCAAGGCAGGCCTCTCCTATTTTGCCCGCTGCTCCCTCAGCAGTGTATTGTCAGTAGATCTGCCTGTTCTGCTCCCCACTTTGTCCCTACTAGTGAATCCTCTCACCCCACTCCCCTCCACCTCTGGCAGCATCGCAGTTCTTGTATGCATAAATAAAAACAAATCCTCAAAAAAAAAGAATTTGGAGCTCTCATACATTGTTGGTAGGAATTTAACTTGGTATAGCCATCATGAAATACAGTTCAAAGTTCCTCAGAAAATTAAACTGAGTTACATTACCACTTACATAATGACTCTTATCTTACACAATTCACTTTTTCTCTACACTGAAAAATACTTGTACTGTAACAAAATGAATACTCATCTTGGAGCCAGAGATAAGATTTGATTCCTAGAGCTGCCATTTATTAACCCAGAGCAAGACCACTATCTTCTCTCTGTTTTTTTTTTTTTAAACAGAGTTTTTAAAAAGTAATCTGGTTAATGACCGTATTACTATCTTTCAAAAAAAAAAAACTGAATTTAAATCAGTGCAAACGTTTGATTTTGACAGTAATGATGGAGGAAACTGAAATGATTATCTTAACCATCCTTTTTTCTGCAATGATGCTCTGATGACTGATTTTATAATTCAATAAAGCTTTTTTAGTCAGTAAAGCATGCTTCAAAAATATTTCAAGTTCTGTGAAAGAAAAAAGCTACACATGAAAATGGTTTCATAATTTATTGGGAATTTATTTATAATCCTTATTGTAAAAAAGGGTAGTGTCAAAATGTGAGATAATAAATACCTGTGAACTTCAAATTTATTTAGTTCTTTGATTTAATGTTCAAACCTTTGACACAATCTGACTCTTCTAAAAATTAAATGTCCTCTTTAAGAAATGTTATAAAAAGAGCTCTGACTTGAGAATGAAAAAACTAGGTGTTCTAGTTTTTTTTTTTTTATAATATTCGTTGGAAAAAATAAAAAAGACAGGGCAATACACATGTGTTAGCAGTGGTTGTCACGTCTCGGTAACATAGAACGTAATTCTTCAAATGCTTATACTTTTTTATAATGAACCTTAATTTTTAATTAGAAATGTTAACAAAAGATCTAAAAATTGTTTTTTTAATAGTGTTTCATCTTAAGCACTTAATCTGATAAATCCTGGAGCTAGTTAAAGGATCATGTTTAAGTTCTGTTTCATAAGATTTAGACACTGAATTCCAATTCCTTGTGATTAGGAGAGAAGTCAGACCAGGTAAAGATAATATACAGGAGCTTTTTGCCTCATTGTCTCTGAGAAAGCAATAGGGTCACCAGCAGCTCTGCTGGAGTCACCCAGGAAAATTCTGTCACCCAGGAAACATCTGCTCAAATCTATCTACACTGTCTGACCAGGAAATAATGGACTCAGCATGTGCCGCCGATGTTTCCGTCAGTACGCAAAGGATATATAGTCTTCATTAAGATGGACTAACTGAACTTTTTGAATTGGCCCTGGAGACATCTACCTTGTAGCAGAAACAATGCTAGCTCTTTGTAATTAATTTTTTTTAAAGGTTTATTTATTTATGCATATAGAACTGGAGTACAAGCTAGAGGTGTGGGGGTGGTGAGAGGTTTCACCAGAGACAGAGTGGGGAGCAGAACAGGATGATCGATTAAGTACACTGCTGAGGGGAGCAGTGGGTGAGTC